CGTGGCCATGTCAGTGGGATGATTTGATGCGCCGCAGGTTCAACTGCCGTGTCCTCAACTAGTCAAGAGAAGTTGAAACACGTCGATACGCTAGTTGCACCTGTACGACGACTTCTTCGGGGGCAGCGCAGCGACGGGACGACCGGAAGACTCGTCAACCCCAGACGCCGGCATCGGGGAGAAACCAAGGCCGTGTATAAGTTTGGTAGATAAAATAAGTATCAATCAATTGTGGGTCGAATTGAGCCCATGTGTTCATCGCGTGGGCCGGAAATTAAAGCGGAATTTTATCGGAATGATATAAGCATTGAAGTGATTGGACTTGCAAGCAGGGGTCGTGTTTCAATCATTTCATCTGCCGTTCATGTAGCTGTCTTCCATGTAACCTTGTTCTTCTTCCTTTTCTCCTTCCAGGTCTTCTTCTTCACCTTCACCTAGTCGAACGCCTGCTTCGCGTCTTTCACTTCTGCACACCATCCGCCCGTTGCTCCATCACTGTTCATCATGTCCGCCATTCTTCTCTTCTGCACCGCCAAGGTGCCAGCAAAGGTATGCGAGCTACCGAGCACAAGTCCCGAGGATAGACGTGCCGACGCTGTATTCTAGGTCATCGATCAATTAATGGAGGAATCTGCCACTGCCGAAGATGCAGACAATATATTCAGTCTGGTTCGAAGCCCAGACCAGCAACGCCTGGATGAATGGAAGACTGAGCCCCCGGTGCAAGACTACGACACGGGATTCGAGGCTACACCCGACGCCGAGTTACGAAGCCTCATTGAGCCGCTGATTCAGAGATCAACAAACGGAAACTCAACCAGCCTTGCCAGCGATTGGATGGCGGTACTCGACGAGAAATCCGAGGCGCAGTCTGCCGTGGTGTTGCACTACTCGTACCCACGGGAACTTTGGGAGGAGGCCATTGTTGGTCCGGCCGAAGTTGGCCAGGAGACCATCTGGTGGAAATGGCGTGTGCCGTTCAAGGCAGCTTGTACCTTTTTTACTGCCATTGATAGCTGTGGCTTCAACGCGATTGAGCTGTATTCGCGGGAGGAATATCGTGACGCCGAGGGAGTCCTTCAGACTGAGACCCCAGACATGATTCTTGCAGGGGAAATGCAAGATCCAAACGAGACGTAGAAAATGCGCTTCGAGTTGAGTCACTAGGCAAAAGGCAACATTACAATAAAGGGGCACGTTGTAGTCTGCATCACAGTTTATGCGTAGTTGCCTGTTTCTAGTATTGTGTGCTACGAAATGGTTCAAGATCCTTGTGCCTCCAGATGTCACGTCGGAGACGCCGTCAACGCGAGTCACGCCAAGTTGGTTAATTTGCCCGAATGTCCGGACGTGACAACCCCAGACTCTATCGACAGCTTGATGTAACCACAGCCCACATTCATCCTGCCCTCGGCTGTGATACGGACATTGATGTCAAAGATCGGCGCAAAGAGGACAGGCCACAATGCTGATAAAGCATTAAATTACGATTACACGTAGGCTGCACACCTTGTGCCAACGCCCGCTAGCAACTGCCGCGCGTGATTTATGCAAAGTCATAAGTGTTCAGCAATGGCGTGGTCGGTGGCCGAGTCCAAGAGTCCTGGATTCATCTGGCCTCATGATGTAGCTTGAAATCATGGCTACGTGGTTCATCCCATTTCCGCATCATGCATTGGTTCCGGAACCAGCGGCATGATGGCACGAAATTATGACTCGGAAGGCAAAGGAATCATCTGCCGAGCTCAGTGGTTCGCCCAAAAAAAAAGACAATGTAAAAAAGCAGAGTGAGCAAGCGGCCATCATGATATATACCTCGCTCTCTGCTCCCCATGTGCTGCTGAATTCGTGACAGACAAAGGGAATACCGCCAAGACAATCGTTTTTATTTCTCAAGAGTAAACCCACCTCTTTCACACAGTCATTACCATGAACCAAAAGTCTCTTTATGTGCTGTTGAGCACCCTGCTCTGCCTCCAACAGGTTAGCAGTCGGGTTGCTGCTCGCGACGACGCAGCACAGGCTTCATGCTGCGCATCATCGAACGGGGCTTCGAACCTCGTCGCTCGCGCCGACGGTAGGCAGCTTGTCCGCCGGCGTGGATTATCAGTGCTAACAAGAGTCTCGGGACAGGTGACGTGGACGATTGTGAGGAGCTAGAGTTGTACGACGAGGGGATAGACCGAGAGGAACTGCAGCGAGTGGAAAACGGCGATTTTGACGGCTTCACCGCAACAACCTGCGCGGTTGTCGTTGCCTATGTGCTCAAGAACAACAACCCAGGGGGCGGCACCAGCCTCGGCCGCCGCGCTGACACTGACGAAACAGGTACGGGCATTGTGCGACAACTTGCGTGTCTCTGCTAACCGTGATTCTATTCGCAGACATTTCTGAATGCCATCGGGCCCAGGATGTTCTGAAGAAAATGAAGATACCGGAGCCGTGCCGCAAAATCAAGGAGATCGAGTTCGGCTTCACTCTATCCAACGATTGGTGGTCGGGAACCAAGGATGATATCGGCGCTACAATCTCCGGTCCAGCCGGCAAGGCCGAGTTTACCATTACGGAACAGCCCTCGCGAGGAGAATCAAAGTGGGTTCCTGTGAATATGCAAGAATCCTTCAAATCGGACTCCATTGATATCACCGGCATCAACAACCTTACTCTTACCGCCGAGACGTTCTTCCTGAGAGGGCCCCAAAGTGACCAGTTCAAGGTCCAAGGTGAGAGCAAGCAAAAGGAGATGGATGCCCTTCCTGTGACTAACGATTCTGCTTCAAGATATTCGACTCCGCGCAAAATGTGCCGATCCCGGCTTTGAAGCTAGAAATGACCAGTACGTCGGGATTAATGCTTGGTACGGCCGTCCCCAGAAGGGCTGGTGGATTTTCGGCAACTTCTACCCGTCGAACTTCGACAGGCAGACCGTGGCAACTTTCCAAGTCGTTCCCGGAGATTGGTCTTTTGCCCCTCCCTGCAACATCATCAAGGATCTCAGTTACGAATTCACCTTGGGCGGCACCTGGGCGAACGGCGACGGAACTGGTGACACGTTGACCCTTGTGCTTGGGGAAGGCAAAATCAATCTTGGAAACAGCTTCGACGCTGGATCCAGCAAGAAGGACAATATCGACCTCAAGGCGACGTTTAACAAGGATACCGTTGACATTCGCGACCTCAAGACGGTGTCCATTGACGATGATGACTCTACCGCTGGTACTTTTGACAAGGGTTGGAAGTTTCAAGGTGTGTACTGGCTCAAATTATTCCTTGCGTAGCTAATAGTATACTAACCCTGTCTTTTCCTTAGGCCTCACGCTCTCGGCGACGTGTGCAGATGTGCCAAAGAAGGTGCAAATGAGGACGTTTGCGTCTGAAAATAAAGACGTAAGCCACAAAGATGGCGAGCCGGCTTGGTCTGGCACCATCACACCCGCTGATTGGCTAGAAGTCGCTTAAAGAAACGCGGAGACGGAGACAAGCAGGAAATCAATACATGGTGGCAGATTAGGCTGGCTTCTTTGGATTTCTTCATCTCTCTAGCACCACTACAAGACGCTTTACTGTGCTCTAGACATTATAGGTTCAATTCAATTTGATTTCTGCAATAGACATGATAAAAACATTAGATGACGAGCATGTTCTTGGCCAAAGTGATATTTGTAATGTGCTGCGGCTTTTATCGACACGGAAAAACGGGAGAAATCAGAGGAACCATTTGTTCAATGTAAGATGGCTTGTATAAGAGGATGGCTCTAATAAGTCTTGCCTTTTTGGTTAAAATTATGGCCAGGATACTTCATGCGCGCACAGGGCTTCAGCCAAGCATCGGGTGATAGTAAGCTATTGCCATTATTTTAACGACTCTGCCAAAAGTAGAGGCCCCCTACTAGAACAGGTCCTAATTCGATAGATCTTCTGCTTTCCCTTAAAAGAGCTATTAACATGGGCCGTGAAATCCAGGGGTTGGTGATGAGTTTTAAGACAGATTGATTAGTCAGCTGGCGACTGCATAGACGACGATGACATCGAGGTAGATCCAATCTCCGGCGAGGCTATACATGATAGCAGGAGCTGGAATATTATCTGAGATTTACAGGGAACGCACGAGATGGCGATGGACCGGCAGCATTACGCAATTAACGTGGGGACTCCGGCACGGTTACCGACGGAAATAATCAACAGCTACCAGACCGGGGCATCGGCACCAGTTGTGGAGCATGGCAGTAATATCAGGCTCGTTAAAGCGCAAGGTAAAAGTATACGGCAGTGGGGAAGCAGGTTCAGGCAATATTGAAGGGATAGTGCGTTAAGGGCAGGGTAGCGGAGCTGGTTATTGAGACCAGACCCGGTATGCCAAAGTAGACAGAAACGCATCGTATACTGCCGGAGCTATAGGCAGACAAAAGCGCTAGCAGAAGAGATTAAATGCCAATTCCATCACAGCTTAATCAGAGGCGGCCAGGCGAGAGGCAATATCTGTCAAATTAATTATATGTAGACTCTATCTAGCTCTATCCCTCCTAGTCTAATAGATTCATGTTAGGTTCAAGACTACTAGCGGGTGCCAGCCGCAGTCGTCCCGGGGGTTACCCAGACCCCTAACCACATGAATTTAACGATTAGGCTCCAAGGGTACGTATTAAACTAGCCCCTGATAACTATTTAATATAGTTAATATTATATAGGCTCCCGCGACCACGATCGTTAGGTCCAGGCAAAGCCTGAACCACAATACAGTCGATTATTGACCCCAAGTATCAAACCACCTTGTAGCTTGTACAAATGCAGCTTCCTTCCCAAACTTCTCAACTGGGTTAGATATGTTGGCTCGCACTGCAAAGCCATGGCCCGTGCCGCCATACAGAGACAATTGATACGGCTGCCCTGTTTGCAGTAAAATCGCCTCTATCTGACTTCGTCTTTCAGGCGGCATCAATTCATCCCCGTCTAGCTTGCAAGTCAGCTTTCTACAACGTGACGTCGTGCTCAAACACATGCTACTTACCAGCAGCAGCGACGCTCGCTGGGCCAGAAATACCAGAGATTTCGCCGTCCTGGAGCAAACTTGGGTGGGCGGCAAAAGCTAGGTCGGCGCCGTTACAGCCGCCGAGGAAGCGTAAGGCGTACCTACCGCCGAAACAATAGCCAGCGGTGGCGATCCGGTCAATACCAAGAGTCTCACGTATATGGCTGATGGTTGATTCGACAATGGGGTCTGTTGCGTTGGGTGAATGCAGTTCAAGGAATGCCGTCGTGTTGAAGCTGGGGTCGTTGAGATCGCTGGGTGCCGGAGTGCCGTTGAAGATGTCGGGAGCAACAGTCATGTATCCAGCTCGCGCAAAGCTGTCCACGAGGCTATAGTAGCACGTTTAGCTGGGAAATTTTCTCCAGACGCTTTGTAGATAAACTAACAGTTTGTTCTCCAGCAGTTGTATTCCGAATACGTCGGTTAAATATAGGACAGCGATGCCGGGCTTGGTTGTCGCTTGCATCTTTTCCGGGCTTGTAATATACATGTTGACTATTATTTCGAAGCCGTTAGCATACCCAACGTGACAATATTTTCTGGTGCTTACCCCCATTGTGTTCTTCTGTAGACCCGACAGGGTCGCCTTGGTGGGCGACTGTTGGGGCATCTGCAACTGGACACTCGGTTGCTGAGGCCAAGGGGCCGATGCTTGATGCGGCGAGTAAGAAACCGAAAGCCTTCATAGTGAGGTCGAGTACGGCGTAATAGAGATGGTTGTGGCTGCGGTATTTGATGCTAAACTTGGTGTCACCGGCAGGGTCATTAGTAGACGTGCATTGTCGGCTGCCCGCTCCGTCGTATATATAAGAGTGCTGATAAGGTTGACGACAATCCCTACCTTTCTGGGCTCTATACTGTACGGCAGCACTTTTTGCACGTCTTGCATGAAGGCTTGCGTGGACGCTTGCGCCATCCCTGACACTAAATTGGAAACTGTCAGATCGACATGTGGTGTGGATACATGTACCGTTACTAGAGGCATCGGTACAAAGCTGAACGAGATGTAACCGACCAGACGTGTATTTATTTTTTATTTACACAATTTATAAAAGGATGTATATTTCTATTAATTTCAGTCGTGCATGAGGAGCTCCGCAGATGTCAGCCACCCGCATTAGCGTCCAGGCGCGCCCAGGATAACCACATGTGCAGACTCCATAATAGTTGAGACTACATATTTAACTTTGGAGCTCGTGAGCTTTAAACGCATGGACCGTGCTAATAAGGAAAGAAGCTAAACCTACCCATGTCCGGCACTTGCATATCCGAGTTTCGGGACGATGAAGCGGATGCAGTTGTCATCACATTGCATCAGCGCCAATACATCAAAACTACATCAACTCGGCAAAACTATTCCAAATTACACATTGAATACAATGCCCTCCAGCCCCCGTTTCCCTCTCCAGTAGTTGGTCGCTTCTTTCAACTCGACACAGCCGGCCAACAACCAGCCCCATTTCTCGACAAACGACTCCGTCACCTCCCATCCGCCAGGCTCCCACGGAGTACCCCAGACGATGAGGCCAGCCGAGTCGACGCCAGCACCAGCTCCGCCATCCACCACATCCCGACAGAGATGGTCCTCATCGAGCATTTCCCTGCCCGGTACCAAAGCGGCCAACAGATTATCCCGTAACCTGGGGCAGGGGAAGAAGTCAATCCACGGATGATGCTCTACGTTCAGCTGCAATAATGTAGGATTCATAAAATAGGGCCGTCTGGTTGGTGGCGCATGCAGGGACGGGGCATACTCTCCCGGTGTGCAGAATGGCGATGTGGCTTCATACGTCAGCCAGTCGTTGTTGAAGCCCAGGGCTTGGGCAATCAGCCCAAAGGCTTGAAACACGTTGAACCTCACGACGCCATTCAAATCTGCGAGGCTCGGTGACCCGATTTTGTATCTACCGTAGCTGCTCTGGGCCACTTGGAGCAACAGTTGTCGGGTCTCGGCTTTTCCAAGCAAACAAGTAGGCGCAGAAGATGGTTTGCCGTTGTCGCTGGTGTGATGAGCACCATCATCGGTCGTCGGCAATAACCTTGGTCCGACTGCGCTGGTGGAAGGCAGCGGAAGTATTCTCCGTCCTTGTCCAACACTAGTTGTCAATAATAAACAGACGGGAGTATGCGAAGCATGTTGGCTTACGTCGTGCCCGTTGGTTCAGACGATTCTGCAGCTTCCTCCTTTTGGCGCTGCTTGCTGTGCCGGTCCAATCCTCTGTTGGGCCCAGTGCCTCTGCTAGCTCTGCAGCTGTCTGGATCGGGATGCGCTTTGTGCCCGACTGAAGCGTCGTGTCCATGGCTGAACTGAACTCGAGGCCCGAATGTGCCCGGGATTGAAAGAAGACGGTCCGGTGGCCCCAATGGCATATATACTACATGCAGGCTGCTGACGGCGGGGCAATCCAATCAAGATTGAGAGCACATGTGCAGGCTCCTATTGGTTCAATGTTTGTCAAGTTTAATTGATTGACCCATCAATTCAACGCGGCTATCTGCCAAGCGTTTGGGCTTGTCAGCAGCTTGCATTAGGGCGTGCAAGTTTACGGGCCCTGACCATGATGACGAGCTACCAGACATGTAGACTGGCCGGCGCTTGAAACATTGAAGCTTATCAATTCTCCATTGGAGGAGCAGTGTACCGTCAATACATCCGCATCACCCAAGACTCATCATCAAGCCCCGCAAGCGACAGCCGAACGTCACAATTCCATTGACGTGCTTCACTTTGCTTCCATGGACAAAGTTTCTTCATACAAAGTCGATAAGTGGCCGAGAAACAACATGCCACCCATGTCTATGTTGGCTGTGCACAATTGCACAGCCTTTGCTAGTTTCGGCTTTAACCCTAACCCCGCCCAGGATGGAATCGTGTAATTTGGGACGGGGAATATGACGTGCCAGAGGGAGGCGTCGATTACCCATCTACGTCAACTGCCATCTTGGCCCGCCGGCGACTCTTGTAGGAGAGAATGTTGGCGACGCGCGGTCGTCTTGTGCGCTGCAAGGATGAAGTGCATCTCGCATGATTCAAGGCCACATCAGAACCAGTTGACCATCAGAACCAGTTTACCATGACGACAGCGGCCATCATGACCTCAAAACATATAAAGACGACCGATATGCCGGCGACTCTACTCGAAAACCTCAGCCGACATTTCTGTTAAAACGCATACCAGACACATACCCAAGCACCGCGGACAATAACGACAAAAATGCTGGCAAGTGGCATCTCACTCGGCATCATGGCCATGGGCACCACCATGTCCGCCATGGCACAGAACATGTCATACGGAGCCGACAACTTCTATCGCAGTCCCGCCGTGGAAGTGCACCCCATCACCTTCCAGAACCAATACCGCCAGAGCATTGCCGGCAACCTCTTCATCCACGGCAAACTCAACCGCAGCTCCAACGCAACCGCGCCGGCCATCGTTGTCGGCCACCCAATGGGCGCAGTCAAGGAGCAGAGCGCGAACCTCTACGCCACCAAGCTGGCCGAGCACGGCTTCATCACCGTGTCGCTCGACCTCCCATTCTGGGGCAGCAGCCACGGGGAACCTCGCAACGCCGTGTCACCAGACCTCTACACCGAGGCCTTCAGCGCGGCCGTCGACTACCTCGGCAAGCACCAGTCCGTCGACCGCCAGCGCATCGGCGCACTGGGCATCTGCGGCAGCGGCTCCTTTGTCATCAGCGCGGCCAAGATCGACCACCGCATCAAGGCCGTCGCCACCTCGAGCATGTACGACATGGGCGCCGCGAACCGCAACGGCCTACACAAGTCGCAGACCGTCGAGCAGCGCGGGGAAATCGTCGCCACGGCATCGAGCCAGCGATGGGCCGAGGTGGACGGCGCCGAGGTCCAGTACACGAGCGGCACGCCAAACCACCTCGCGCCGGATTCGACTCCTGTCGAGCGCGAGTTCTACGACTTTTACCGCACCAGCCGTGGCGAGTTTATACCCCGGGGGTCGTCGCGGAATCTCACGACACACCCCACGCTCTCGAGTAACGTCAAGTTTCTCAACTTTTACCCCTTTGCCGACATGGAAACCATCTCGCCGCGTCCGGTGCTCTTCGTATCGGGGGATCAGGCGCACTCGCGCGAGTTTAGCGAGGAGGCTTACGCGCGTGCGGCGGAACCAAAGGAGCTGCATTGGGTGCCGCGCGCTGGGCACGTTGACCTGTACGATCGTGTAGAGCTTATCCCGTTCAAGAAGCTGGCCGACTTCTTCTGGAATAGCCTCGGCGGGACTAATGTCACCGCGGTGTAGAAACGATGGATATTGATGATTTGGATTTCATCTGCATTGCCACGTTTAGCAGATGGAAGTAGGCCATGTTACCTTTTGAGCAACTACTTGCGAGGCTGGCATTGAAAATAAATACTCTTTACCATGGCCTGTAAATCATGTCTCTACTAGAACTAGCTTTAGTACGCAACAAGGGCATTCGACATCTTGCAACTATTCGCGTATTTTGATTCCAACACCCCTCACCAACTATTCTAGATTATACTTAGCCCACGTGAATTGCCACCACGTAGCGAGGACATCTCAAACGTTCAACAACGCGTACAGAAAGGCCTGGGCTTCTTACTCCGTGCCAGTTTGCGTTGCTTGTCCGGACACTTTGCAACTCTTCCCTGAGTTCGGTGGTACTACGTTAGGTATATAATCAGTTGGCGAAAAGGGGCACCCATGGCAAAGCCGCTCGTCACTATGGCTTGGGTGTTGTTTTTAAGCACGTGGCTCGGGAATACTCTCGCACGCCATCTCCGTCCGAAATGTTGAACCCACGCGCTGGTATTGAGCAGCTTTTTCTTGTTTGCTACCGACACATGGCTTCACTTTACTACCAAGACTATATCGCTTACCTAATGCTCGCAAATAACATTTAACGACGCCAGCTTTGGGCTGCTGTAAAATTATGTACACTTAAACTATAATTTTGGTTACTAGTATAACCTAAACCTAGTGGTAGTAATTATATTCCTTATAGATGTCAAGTAAGCTGGTCCCTTGATTTTCTTGCCAACGTGTTTAACACGAGTATAATACGGCCGCTAATAAATAGTGCTAGTAATAAGAGCTACGCCCAGAGTATTAACAGAAAAACTATACAACATGTAATTTTTTAGTGTAATTTCTAGTGTAATGTAATTTTTGATTATATCTTTGTTTAATTCTCGACCGCCGCACTCCACAGGTAGGGGATAGTAACAGGGTGTAAACACGAGCATACCTTGGTATACTATCTGTACACACTGGGTTATAAACACCAGCTCTTTTTTCTCTCGTTCACACAGGCCATTTATATAGAATTTGAGGTGTAGACTCGCATATTAAGTCTTATATCCGTACTTATCGCCGCAGTATCTTCTTCTTGGCTATGTAATATATTACTTGTCAGAGACTAAAAGTGGGTCCTAGATATACAGGCCAGGTACTAGTTATTTAAAGGTTTTATAAAAATTAGCTT